CCCCAAAACCCCAAAACCCCAAAACCCCAAAACCCCTATTTAATATAATTTATTGCAAATATGGAAATATTCCTTGAAAATTTTAACCGATATAGCAGAATTAACTGGAGGAGTTCCCTCCCAAAGAGATACCAGGATGTAAGTCTAGTTCAATCTTGGAAGCTCCAGTGAAAAAATTGCTTAATTTTTATAGGTAATCGAAAAAGCCGTCAAATAATGTGGAAGCTACATCAGAAATCCCTCGAGAAAAGATGGATGTTTATGTTAATGTTCACACTAACTTAAAACCTAAATAAATATATCGATGAGATTAGCAAGAATAATGACAATTTCATTGCGTTTAAGAAGGCCAATCTTAGGAAACCTGTTCGGAAAAACCGCTTTAATTCTGCTGAACCAGAGACAAAATACGCAAATCATCTTAAAGTGCATAATCCAGGATTCTACTTGAAGAGGAAGTTATGTATGAAGCGAATGGAAGATGCAAAAGCTGAGCAATTCGCACCGAAAACTAAAAGGAAGAAGATCAAAAGTATGTATTTTACTCTAAAGTCAAATAGGAAGGCCAAGATCAGCCATCTCTCTAGGCCCAGAAAACGAGAACATGGTTATAAACATCTTTAACTACCAAGATTCTGCAAGATCAAGCAAATTTTCTTCAAAGAAGGAGATCCCTTCCATCTTTGATTTAGAAAAAGGATTAAAAACCGAGGTAAAATCTCACAATATATAACAATGAATAGTATGGTCAGAGATACTCTATAATCGAGCCAGTAAAGCAACCAGCTGCAGAAACAATACATGTTAAGAAGCCCAAAATAGCTAAGAAAAGAACAATGAAAATTAATAAAGTCATGATCAACCCTCAAGAGGTAATACCCTAGCATTCATTATAATAAAGGATACTGATGTTTATTAGGGATGAGTACTGGGAGATCAAATTACTTGCAAATATTTTACATACAGATTTAAGCCCCATCTTAGAGCACTCAAAATGTCTGATAAGTTATAAGGAACCTTTCAAAAATTATGGAATTAGACATAGTATTTATAAGAATGTTTATAGTAAAGTTTTATATAGATCCAAGATAAATCAAAAGCATCTGAGACGAATATCCATCCTGGTACGATACATCAAAGAAAATATGTAAAAGTGAGGTCAAAATCAAATCCTTTCGAAAGTAAAGAAGTAAATTTAACCTCTAGAGCCCCAAGTGAGGCCCAAATCAGCCTTACTAGCTGTTGGAAATAGTGTGCCAATTAATGAGTCTCCAAAGAAACCCAAGAAGGCAGGCATACAGCCTATTTTTAAAAAGTCTAAGTTTAGGGTAACTCCCAAAAAGGAAACTCCTAAACTTGCGACTACTCTAGCTAAGACTTCTTCTTCAAAATTTGAGAATTTCCATATTTTGAGAATGATGAAGCCTAAAAAGACAATTTTCTCAAAAGTTGTACAAAGCCCAATGATCATAAGACCTTCAAATCGAAGAATGAGGCAATCAAATAGTCAAAAGGCTGTTCAAATTCATAATCCAAATGGGATACAGACTTCAGGGATGCTTTTGACATCAAAATCAATCCTTGTCTCAAAACCCCAATACCTTCATTACGAGAAAGTAAAGAGTGAGAGAAAGAAAGTAAGAAGCATAAAGCTAACCTTATAGAAAAATAAGTCCAGGAAAAGTTCTTCCAACACAAACACTATTATGCCACCTAAGTTGAAAAAGTAGGTATTTTTCCTATACCTAATCTAGCGAGCACCAAAATCAGGACATTTTCGGCGAAGAATTTAGACAACCAAGGTCTAAATAATAGCTTATTTCAGCATTTCTTAAAAAAAGGGGTTTTGGGGTTTTGGGGTTTTGGGGTTTTGGGG